TATTAAACACGTGATATCTAAGGAGTGAGAATGGAAAGCTGAGATGTGCTTTCATAATCGAAAACCACGATACAGTACGGTTGACCACGTTCAATCAACATGATATTGCTATTGATTTGACCTTTGGCTCTCCACCGTCAGCTCAATGACCATTATTCACGTCGACCGATGAAGATGTCACACAAAAACAATGCTCCCAGAGGCAAATTCAGCAAATATGAGTTTCCTACCACATTGGTCGATTCCGATCAATAAGAAAGCTGTTTTTTAATAAGAGTGCTATATCAAGATAACTTCCTTTAATCGAAGTTCAGAGTTGTCCGTAGTGGGCTCGATTTTGATGATTCTTCAATTAGACGCAACAGACCCACACCTCGCTTTAGTCTAGTAAGAAGATTTGGGCGACATCACGGTAATCACAAGTAGACGTAAAAGTGAGAAAATTTGCGCCATACGCAGCGTTGTGTGTGTGTGTGTGTGCGCGTGATATTAACTAACTAGCTGTGTGAGCGCTTGCTAACCACACAACAAAAGCACACACACACACACACACACACATGTATAAACATGCATAAATCAAGTTGCACGCTGCTAAATTTCTTTTACTATACGGTTTCCTACTCTCAATGATTGAGAAAGAGGATAATATGACGAAAGTAATTAGTTAAAAGAGTTTTTGGGAGACAGCACTTTCCTAGGAATGGAAAAAATGAGAAGAAGTAGAGGACAGGAAGAAAAACAGAAGGATTCAAATTTTAAACGGGAGTTGAGATAAAAATTATACTAGGGAATTGTGGGAGGAAGGACACTGTAAATCAAACTGCTACGCATGTTTGACCGTTGCGCAATTTTGTCGAATGGATAAGGAATGGGAACATCGGTGAGATGAAATGAATATTATGATGAGAGTGTCATTTCAGTGAAATGATTTACTTGAAACTCATCGATATGTGCATGTGCGCAGGCCGCGTAGTTGTCAACGTGCAAATCTGCCATTTTAGAAGTCCGCAGATGCACATCACTGAATACTAAGCAATGAGATTGACCGACCGTATTAATGAATCCAATTGGCAGAACACGAATCTCTCAACCGAGATATTGTAGAGTACCTTACATTTCCATTAGGCAAGAGCCGAACATCACTTCCTTTTCTGTGCTTTGAAGTTATATAGACATGGGAAAACCTCCTCCATTGAAAGAAATGTGAACCGATGGCATGGCAGTACAAGCTCATTTGCGCGACCAACATCGATCCAATAAATCCCATTACAAACCGTACTGATTAAAAGTGGAGAATACCCAAAGCAAAGGAACATCAGGATACCTCTTTTGGGACTTAACATTAGAATAAAGATCCCACTCTCCCGCACAATGCAAAAACTGAGATTGAAATGATCTAGACGGGAAGAAACTAGTAGGAACAAACAAGGCCAAGAAAAGGGAAAAATGAATGAGTACATTAGATGAATTGTGAAAAAGGTATCCCTCTAACAGAAGCTCACACGCAGATCAATTCGGACCGCTATAGTATGGAGGAAAGTACTTTTAAGGGAAATCTTCACATAAAGGTTCAAAGACCGCCTGTGAAAGAAAACAGTGACAACAAAAGAGAAGAAATATTTCCTAAAAAAAGTGATACAACTAACCATATATACCTTCGTCAAGGTCTAGATTTAAGATACGCAAAAACTTCAATCTTCCACCGTGCATTTTTTGTGTATGGGAAAAAGAAGCGTTAAAGGAAGTATTAATCATCTGCAAAAGGGGAAATGCTTTATTAATGCGGAGGAAATACATTGTTAAATATTTACACTTGAGGAACTAATAATTGAATATTTTGTCTCGCTGCTAAACCGCCCAAGGAAATCGATCTTTCTAAACGGCGTCTTGTTGAATATCCTAACTAATCTCGATAGATTTGTATTCAGGGCGGCTTGGAGCTATAATTATTAGGTCTGTTACAACAGATAGAGTCATTAATCACCCCTGCCCAGTTATCACCACTATTGTGTCCAGATATGGCTAACCAATTCCAGCCCTTTAAACATTTTACAAAACAAAACATTTCGATTAAGCAGAAGGGCAGAAGCAAATTCTCTTTTCATAAGAGGGGGGGGGGGGCTATTAGTTTATTCTGAGCATGGAATGGAGAAACTCCCTTGAAACAAAAAGTTAATATAGTGCGTGTCGTTCTTAAAGTTAAGAAATCTGGAAAGATGAAGACCGACGATGCTCTGCTAGACTTATGGATGCCGGAAATCGAACGGTCGACGGGAAAAACCTCAATGAGCCTACTAACGGAACAAAATAGCGGACTGAAGACGAATGAATCAACGGAGTGCAAATCCGAAGGACGAGTAGATCTTTAAGAAGGATAGCTAAGCGCATGAGAGGACGAAGCATTATGAGGAAGGGAAGGTATAAAGGCGCAAATACCACATGCGAAAATAACTTCATTTTTAAAATAGTTCCACTTCTGAAAGTCGCCTTTTCATTTCTGCAGGCACAATTTCAGTTACATTTATATTAGGAGGTCGCTGGCATATTTCTAGGTCATAACTAAAGTTCATATTGTGTCTGATTGAATTGCGGATTCCATCCCAGCCAGCCACCCCGATGTGATGCTCTGATTAGAGCAATGGTGTTGTTTGCTGTTAGTCTTTGTAAGGAAGGAGGTCTAAGTTTAGCTTGATCGAACCTGTAAAGTGGCTTTGATTTGTCGAGATTAGTGCTACTTGAGGGTGTTTACAGTTTATGGCCTAAAAACTGTAAATTCGGCATTTACTTGTCCTCTGGTTAATAATAAATTGGCACTTATTCAACCAGTGTCCTAGGTGTTAGACTTTTATGGCAATTCTAATAAAGAATGGGACTAAATTAAACCACCATCTATTGACTATTAGACAATTTTAGGTGGCAAACACTTAGAGAAGTTTCAGAAAGGTGGAGACAACTGAGGTGTGATTTGCAAATGGTACAATAGTCATTAATTGAACAAATCATAACTATCAAAAATTCGGGTATTTTAAACGCCTCAGTTCGCACTGGATGTTGTGCATTTAGTTATGGCAGACAAGACAAGACATATTCATCACACGAAGAAAAGTTCAGACAAAATATGAGGACTGGAGAGATTTTAGGCAAAACAATGATTCCAGGAAAAATCAATACTAGCAGCAGAGTTTTGATTGTTCTAATTAGTCTGCAAAAAAGAACCAGAATATGGTGGAGAAAAACGTGCAAGGAAGACCACTTCTCCAATTCATGCCTTATTGGACTCAATCAATGTTACCTTTGTGGTACAACACACAGAAATGATGAAAAAAAGAAAGTCAAATATCAAACGCAATAAGCATCCGAAAACATTGGGGAGAGGTCAACACACACGCGATGGTCTACTTGAACTCTACTCTTTGCCTTGGATATCCGACTTTCTACGATGTTGCAACTCACTCAAAATTGGAACACGTAAAGGAAATGGCAAGACAAATAAAATCAGTTCATAAAAAAATAATTGAGAAACATATATATGTGATTACTTCATTAAAATTTTGCATTTTGTCACTGCAATTAAATAATTGTTGAATTTCACTAACCCACCATTTCATATAGTGAAATTGCTGCACAGCGCATGAGATGGAGTGAATGAGAACATTGAGTGAATCTCCGTCAGTAACGGGCAACCCTAAGATAAGATAAAGTATGCAGAAAGGGCATATAGCTGATGCCTACCAATGACTTGGATTGATTGACTCCCAAGCCAAACAGGGATATATTAGAAAAGTATATTGCATTGCCAAGCAAGAGCTCGGAGAAGAGTGATCGAATAACCCAGTGTCCGAGGAACAAAATCAGCTCACAGATGTCTCAGCATAACATCGATAACGTTCCATTTTACCTCCTATCAAATTCCTTAATTAATGGGGGAGGGGGATCATAGACTACCTCCATAAGGTACACTCTGGGCTACGTGTACTCAAACAGCAAAACAGCCCATAAATCGGCAGTTGACTTCTCACTTCAAAATACCATGACCCCACTACTTGTCATATTCGACCACTTCAACAGTACTCACCTCAACTTTTTCTCTACCTTTGTCTGTCTGTCTCTTTTACAACTGTGAATCAATCTTCTGTTCTCCCTCTCGGCTTTCTCCGACTTTGATGTCCCTCCTCCTCTCTGTGAAACCTGAAGTCAACTAAAGAGCCAATAAGAACTATCATAAAGCCTGCCATTTGATATGAATAAATAATTAATTAATAGGAGTGATTCCCCTATTTTTTCATTGTAAATCCATCTGCAAAATGGGCAATAAAAACGAAATTTCCAATATCCAAATACTGACATCAGTTGTGAGATAATCGATATACAATAGACAAAGCCAAAGAAATTCAATATTCTCATTGGGATTTCAAAAAGTGGAAAGCCGATAAGGGCATTAGTAACGACCGCTACATTACCACTGTTAAAAATTAGTTCATTTATATACCTCATTGGCTTAGCTCATCAAAGCATCAAATACCCTTGGCGTTTACTCGCGCAGTCCCTTTGAGACATATGACTTTCTCCAGAGCTATTCTCCCCGTATACGCCGTTAGTCCAAGGCAAACAATTACAAATGACTCCATACACTGGCATGGAGTATAGTCAACGCGGGTTGTCCCAAGGGTTTAGTAACTTCTCCTCCATAGGGCTACGCTACTCATTTATTCTCTTCAAACAAAAAAGCGTTTCATGTGTGAGAGAGCATTATTGCAAAATTTGAAAGGCATTTTTCACAGACTAATTAGAACAATCAAAACTCAGGCAATTTGTGCAACAGATTTTGGCGAGTATCCAGGTGATAAAAGTCATCTTAAGCCCTCCCCCCCCCTCCACCCCCATTACCAAATTACATTAGAACAAAACCCACCTAATATATTTTTTCTGTGATCTAGATAAATTAAAGACACAAACACACACCGAAAAAAGTGGACAAAAAACAGGAAAAACGAAGAGTATTAACAGGGGATGAGACTAGTATCACCCCTACGACCGACAGAACTGCACAAAGACAAAGTTGAAATCCTCCACTCTCCTCAATAGCAAGAGAACAATGACAAATTGGTGAGTTGCTCGTAGAACAAACGCGTACAAAGTAAGCCAGGCCCGAAGACATACGGAAAAAGGAAGAGAGTGAAAGAAATCACCGTGACTACTTTCAAGGTTAAGTGTGATTATGCAATTTCTCGTCTCTCCCCCCCCCCTCCCTTCAATTCACATTGTGGCTCTAAATTCACTCAATTATATATACATATATGTACACAATTGTAAAATGTGATCCCTCTTCGCCCACTGGGAGAATAGTTAAATTGATTGAGGTGCAGAGCTACTGCTGTTTGTCCCTTGGAGAGAGGGGGTTGAGGGTAATTGCTTTCTGTTCTAAACGCATTGTCCTAAAAGTGGGCTTACTAGGACATTCAAGCTTTAGAAAAAGCACAGCTACTTTCGGAGTGGAGATTGTAACCAAACTGTTACTTTTACTTGAATAATTTGTCATTAAACGGGGTTGGGTAAAAAGGACACCACAAGGTCACAGAGAGCAAAAGTATGTACCCAATTCATTGTCGTTATTTTTGATGATAAAAAGGTAAATACTCACAAATGATCTTGACGCTTGAAGGCCTTCTTGCAGACAGGGCAGACGTGCTTTCGTTCATCGCTGTGGGTCAATTTGTGCTTAGCTATTGCACTGGAGTTGCTGAATACCTAGAGGGGAGGAAAAAAGAAGGCCTATTGAACTTGACGTAATTTCAGGAGTGGATTCTTTAATACTCAGAGAGCAATTCGAGAGAGGATAATACATTTAAGAGCTCTAGTCAACTTGCGCCGACTGCAATTTATAGCATTTTAATCACCAATAGGTAATTGATCTTAGGCTATTATTATTGTAGGAGCAATGGGTCTAGAAGAACGTGACCAATCCCTTAATTCAATTCACTATTCGATAGACATCGATTATCCAACTACCAACACTGTACTAAATTTTGAGGTCAAGCATTCAAGGAAAACATATTGGAAACATGGACCCAGTAGAGTAATTCCCGGAAAACCAAACTTTGCAAACACCAAATTCAGCAATTAGTCAATCTTATGCGCCAATGAAGCATTCTCTTAAGTTTATCTATTTTTATGCTCTAACAGTCACATATACTGGCAATGATTGAAAATGCCTTCTTTTATTTAACAAAATAAAAAGTGGATAAATGATGTAACACGTAGCACACCTCCTCCCTACATTCAAGGCGCTTAGAAAGACACTTGAAAACTCCTTAAAATAGAACATGCACTCGGCTACAGGTTATTCTATGAATTATACTTTGATGGCTTGTAGATTGGGGAAAACGCGCATCTGGGTGTATGAATGCAGAAAAAAAGGCGGAAGACAAACTTGATTGATAATCTCTGGGGGTATTCAACAATGAAAATTTAACAACAAACCTATCAATCATATGAAATTTGTAAATGCTAGTGGGAAAGAAGGTAAAAAGAGCCCCAACACCACCACCACCCACATAGATTAGAAGCATTCCAAGACAGCAATGCTAGAGAACTCCGAGTAGCCAATCGCATGTGTAGACACTTTTTTTCTTTTATGAATGACATAGAATTAGGCAACTCATTTTAAATACTCCTAAAAAGGCATCTTTGATGCTAAAAATATTGCCAGTAGGACATTATAAGTAAAAACCATTTCGGGCAAAAAAAGTTAATCTTGCTTTGTTGCTTTGGGGGAGGGAGGGGGGAGG